CTGTACTTAAGAATTCCCTAAGTAGACAAAACCATTTAAGCCATGTAAGCAAAACTACATGAATATTAATTTATGAACACACATGGAACTTAGGTTATTTCTTGTAAATGTCTCCGACAATCATAAAAGAAACAAGTCATCTTTCTAAAAATGGCATGAGAAAATCACTTTTAACCAATCCCCTGCCTTTTCGGAGCCCCAATTGTAATTACCAATCATGGTAAAGGGTAAATTATTATAAAGGGTAAATAACTGTAAAGGGTAAATAATTTCCTCTTCTATAAAATGAGAATAACAATAGAATCTCTCTTATTTTTATTTTTGTTTAAGATTACATGAGTTAATACACATAAAGCACTAAGAACACTGCTTGGCAGAAGGTAGCACCTAATAAATATTAGCCATTATGCTGTCCACCTAGAAGAAGTAGAGTACCTTGCATTTGCTCATGTTTATAATACTAATATGATTACTCATAACTATAATTATAAAAATAAAAGACAAACATTTACCTTACTAGAATTTTAGGAGTTTTAATAGTGATTATTTTTTGAAAAGCAGCATATCCCAGGATTATGTATTTGTGATACCTCCCTATTAAGCAGAATATATTGATTTACAATAACACTACCATTTTAAATTATGATAAATAAGTGCGAGTGATGTGTGAGTAGTGACATCAATGGTAAAGTAATTTTTACCAGGTTGTTAATATACCAGCATTTTTCCAGTAAGAGCTGCACAAGGAGACTCAGCATGAGTAATAGAAAGTATAGCGGATTGAGAGTCCAAAGACCAGTACTTTATTCTAAGCTCTGGTAAACTTTCTGCTGTGATTTTGGACAAATAAGTAAACTTGTTTGAATCAATTTTCAGACAAGTCATTTAACTAAATCTATAAATTAAGAAGGTAAAATTATATTACCTAAGATCCACCCCACCTCCGTCATCTTTAAAGATGATTGAGAAATTCTTTACAATACGTTCCTCATTTTAAAGACCTAATAGGTCAGTGTAGGTTTTAAGAGTAGCACACATGAAATAACCACAGACAATTTCAAGTATTCTGTGATTCTTTAAGAAGCTATAGAGAGTTGTATTTTTAAGTACAGGCTGTGGATCAAGAGGGCCTATGCTTTATCACAGCCCAGTAACTTTCTAGTAGAGTAATATTGGGCAAATTACTTAATTTTGTCTATAGGTCAGTTTTCTTGCTTGAAAAAAAGTATCAAATAATAGTAGCTACCTCATAGGCTTTTGTGAGAATTAAAATATTTAAAACATATAAAGCCTTTAGAACAGCACTTGACACACAGTAAGAGTAAAAAAAAAAAAAGTTAGCCATTATTGAACTGCAGAATGATTTATAGAAGATGGGATTTGATTACACCGGGAGAAGCATTATGCAAGGAATATGTTGGGGATGAGGTGGGGGAAGGGGATATGAAACTTAGATTCTTCTTCACATGCACAAGCTAAGAGAGAAGAAATATTTCTATAAATTAGGGGACTGATGTGAGTAAATGCACTGACATTGGATTCAGTTTTCCTTTCTGTTTTTTTTTTTCTTATGTGGTTTTTCTACTGTAATTTTGATATATACCAAGTGGAAGAAAATGAAATATAAAAGAATAGAGAAGCTACATAACTAAACCTACATCCAAAATATCTTAAGATCAGGCATTTTATTTCAATAAAATATACAATGATGTAAATAGTATAACTGAAAAAAAGAAAAACAAAGAAAAACATGTTTTGTCCAATTAGCTGAATGAATTATTGCTCCATAGGAACAATTTTGTATAAATAGCAAATGCAAGCAAAACAAATATTTATAATTTTAAATATGTTATTTTGAGTTTTATGAAGTGCTTTAAAAAATATAACATTTAAATAACTGGCTCTTTTTTTATGCAATATATTATAGCATATAGCATACATCCAGAAAAAATTTTATTTAAAAAAAAAATTTACTTTTTGTCCCCCAACTGAATCACAAAATTCTTGACATTCAAAAATGGCAATTCCTAAAAGCTTGCCTTAAGCGAAAAAGAAAACAAAAAGAATCTCCAAGAAAAGCAATATCCTTTCTCTGGCCTCAAATTATGTTTTGAAACATTCGAAAGACAGGAGACAAATAAAAAATAACTGCAATCTCAACCAGATAAACGTTTTCTTATATAGCATCATTTTCTTTTTTTAACCATTACAGAGAAATAAAAAATCTGGACATTGGGCTTACCATTCCATTCCAATAGACTATAACTCAGAATGAATGGTGGAAACGGAGCATGTGGGACTGAGGAGTTAAGGGACCGACTTCCCCCAAGAGAAAAGAAAAGAAGGAAGGTAAACTTGTTAACGTGAAAACTGGATCTCCAGAAAAATAAACTAATAATATTTGCTTGAAGAAATTTCCTCATCTATGGAAATTTTAATAGCATGTTCCTGATGGACTGATTTGAGTAAAAACTTTAGAATCTGTGGATTTATAAGCATGGCTCCCTGGAAATTGTTACACTGTTGGTATATAAAATGGAAGTGTTTCATGAATGAAACATTCCTCCCTTTGTGTGAGGTAACACCATGAAACCTCACTTGGAGAGCTGACTTGCTATTCTGGATTAAAGAACAGATATTCAGTGAGGAGAAAAGAGCTCAAAGAGCTAACACTAACGCTAACGCAAACGCAAACGCAAACGCAAACGCTAACCCTAATGCTAATCCTAACCCACCATCAACATCCCAGATCTTTTATCTGAGCTTAACTGCCTGAACTTTGAAAGATTAGTAAAGCTTGGTATCGGGGTAAGATCTATGATTTGTGTTATTCTGATTTGACAATCTGATCCACTGTGTTATCTCACCAGATATTGAATATTCTTTTTTTCATTAAAAACCAGCAGTAAATTTCCAATGTATATACAACAAATATACAACATTCTACTACTACATATTTTTTACTTTTTAAAATCAAATTAATAAAAAGATGTTTTTGCTTTGCAAAGCTTACATTCTGATAAAACACTAGAAAAACAATATATAGTATGCATTATGCATATAAAATTTTATTCATATAGCATTTGCATTACTGAAATGGATAAGATAGTTTTCAAAAGCGTGCTCATTACCTTTCAGGATCTTATTTTTAAAATTCATGTGGCTACACCCAAATGTCAGTTCGATGCTAGAGATCTCCAAAAACAAATCGTAAAATAAAGTTGTGTAAAAATTGTACTAATGACATAAATGAACTCTAAATCTACATGAATACAGTAACTTCTTAAAATGCATATACACCATGGTGTAAAGAAAATTATAATCTGTGTACCATTATTTCTTGCCAAATGAAGCCACTTGTTATTTCAAGTTCACTCTGATATTCTTAGTTAAAACAGTACACATAAATCTCTTTCCAGGTCAGAAATCCTGCCATCCGTATGAAGAAGAAACTTCTATGGAGAGCCTAATGATATTTATTCACTCTCCCTGGTCAATATATTCAAAAACATATTAATACATAAGCCTTCCAGATTGTTCATCAATGTAAGGATGGCTATCCATCCTTACAGGGGTGAGAGAATGCTTTCTTCTGCTCTTGAGCTTTATATTTTCTAAAAAGTTGGAAATTAAAAAAAAAAAAAACCTAAATCATCAAGGGAATTTTAGCAACAATTTTACCCTTGCTGCAATATTTGTTTTCCTCCATCAGAATCCACTTAGCATGTATTTGTCAATGTTCTTCTCTTTTCTTCTCTAGAAATGCTCATGTTACCTACACACTCTTCCTTATCAAGTTCCTTTTTAAAAAAGATAATTTTAAAAAAGAGCCTTTTCTCATTTCATGGGTGTGTGTATGTATGCATAATTTGACTATAAACTTAGAAATTAAGGATGTAATAAATGGCTTTCAGATATTAGGAACAGTTACTAGAAACTATTTTATTGTCATCTGAGACTCTTGTTCATAAACGTCCTGTATGTGTATCAATATACAGCATTCAAAGACAAAAATAGAAAAGTGGAGAAAAACTTTCTCAAAATAGAGGTAAGAGAATAGCTAACAGATATATTCAATGTTTTATCTGGGGTGAAAAATAAGAAAGGTGCTTACATTTCCCTCCACACCCCCAATTTACAGCCTATACTACTCTTCTTCAGTACAATTAATGGTATAAACATATTATGCACATTCAGGTATTCAACAGACACTTGGAAGGCATAGGACATTTTATCAGCTCTTAATGCATATTAATATCAAGAATAACAGTTCTTTGTAATCGAGGATATATATGTCAATGTATCCTTGACATGTGGACTTCTTCCAACTATATATATCAAATGAAATTGACAGTTTGAAAATACATGAGTTACTGTTAAAGTGTTTTTTGAAAGGTGCTAGCATATTACAATGGTGATTACTGATAACAAAGTCAGTAACCGTAAACCTGTCCCTAACAAAGCAGTACCAAGTGAGACAGAGATTTTTTAAAAAGAGTAATTATATATATAAGAAAATAAGACAGAATTATATTTAGAGAGTCCTGTAAGGACAAATAGGCATAAAACACAACAACATAAAAGCATGTCTTTGTTAAATTTTGACATTGCTGCCTCTAGCAGCAAGTCAAATGTGGAAAAGGAAATATATTTTGTTTTCTAAATAAACAAATATTTAAAATAATATCAAATTTTGGTAATTATGAAAAATCAGATTTTGAACACTTTAGCAAGAAAAAAATTTTGTGTGTCATAAAAGTCACATGTGTATCATAACATGTATTTATTTTATAGTCATTAAAAATCATTTAAAACACAACTACATCATAAATATAAGCAAGAATGATAAGCTGCCTATATTTAAAAATATGAAAAATAAGAACATTTAATATGCATATATTTTAGGGCACTCAATATTAAATTTTCAGAATGATTTAAAATAGATAAAATATGTGTTAATTATTAAAATATAGCAAAAGTATACATGGTTTTCCTTCTAAGCACTTATCTATATTTGAATAAATAATCCTTATTATTATAAAATTATATCCTTAGCTAATATATTACACAACTTAGAAAATTAAGCATTAACACAGTAAATGTTCATCATCATAATAATCTCTAGTCCATAATGCAGACTTTAGGGAAATTCAGTCTTTAATAACATATACCATATATACAGTATATAAATTATCTCTATATTTGCACATGTAACAATTTTTGCAGTCATGCAATCCACCTGAAAACAGAAAACGAAACAAAATCCTTACTTTTGATTTGGAAGATCCAAGCACCGTCTATGTCTTTGACATGTTAGAAAAGTTACATGAACTTGAGAAAGTCATTCTACCTCTTCCAATTCCACTTTTCTTATTTGGAAAAAATTATATAATTAAGCTTGTCCATCTCTTATTTTTAGTTAGTTCCCTTCAGAGGATTTCAGACAAACATGCAAGCATAAAAGTAAAGCATGATGTTTCCATTCATTGATACATACTGATGTGGCACTACTTGCAACGGTCAGATGTATTCTGACGTCTCTTGCTTCTTCTTGGAAAAGGATTATCAACTTTAATTTTATTACATGCTGGAGTATAGTACAGTAATTGCAATGGTTCTTATACATTTTTCTAAAAACAATAACAATGCCCCCCACGTTAATCCCTGTTTTTAATTCACTTTTAATGTAATCAAATAAACACATTTTATAGCTAAATGGACAGATTATAACATTGTAAAAAGATCTGAATATTTTTTCCATGAAAGTAAAATCATTAACCTGTAAAGATTTTTGCCTATTATATTCAGCTCGAGTTCCATTAAAAATGTAAAATAAAATCAAAATAAAAGGGGATTTCTGAGTAAGCAGCACTGAAATGTCTTAAAATTGTACCTTTTGAGGTAGGCGTCTTTTTTTTATTTATACTGACAGTTTCTGCAATGTTGCCTTTGAGGCAAAAAGTATCTTTATTGACTCACTCTAGTTCCTAATACAAGTTTTTTTATTATTTTTTTATTGTATCCTAGTCAAAATATCTTTAACTGAATTCTTTCTTCTTCAAAATGATAACTGACCAATCAAACGGACAAAAATCTTTACCAGAGTGCTTTACTGTAGGTGATGTTTCTCACATTATCCACATTTAAAGATTTCAAATATAAAATAAGACAATAAAAAGAAAGAAATAAGGATAAAAGAATAAACTCTAGAAAACTGTCAGAGACACAAAGAGGTTTTTGTATCTTGGATCGTAAAAGGGTGAGTCAAGTGGCAAAGTCAACAAGGACACATACAATGTTTTCATGTAAATAAATACACTTATAGTTTTATTTTAATACCATAGCTTAAACCCAGCATTTGCTCATGTATACTATATGTTACATAATGATTCAAATAACTTAAAATGTTTGATAACATATTTCTGAATGATACTACCATTAATCATAATTAATTAATTGCCTCTGAGAAATAGAGAACTGAGTAAAGCCTACTTTCTTCTCCTTCATTCTATGGCTCTTCTGTTACCCTGTACCCTGCCCACAACATTGAGCCACTTATCCTTGCAATAAACTACAACATTTAAGAGTGCCTTGTTGCCACCTGGCTGTTTGATAATTAAAGTGAACTTATTGTTCAAAATTAAAAAAACAGGGACACACCAAAATCAGGTGGCAATGTCAAGTCTGGAAAGCAGGCTTTCATTTATGACACACTCAAGAAACTTCCCTCAATATAAGGTCCAAATCCAATAAACTTCCCTCACTTGTTTAGACTTCTAGTTTTCTGACCTTCTGTAGTTAGAATAAGACTTCATTATTTATCCTATCTTTGATCTCAATGCAAGGAAATAAATAAAGATAATTTAGCTCTTCTGTAGACACTGTCCCACTAAGATGGGTGAGACTAGAAACATTGTTTTCCAACTTACCCAATACACAGAGAATATGTGGTGAAATTAAATGAAGACTATAACCAAAGTGACAAGTGACACGGATGACAAAGTTGAACAAAAAATATGTACTGCCAAGTGGAATATTACATTCTAGAAAGCTGCACATAGAGATAATTTTTAAATAAAGGTCTATTTTTGCTTTAAAAATACATTAAGGATAAGGTAGGGATATGTTAGTTGAAAGTTCATCCATCAATATTTTATGCAATTTGGTACAAATGCAAATAGTGTCAAATATTTGTAATGAAAACATTTCTGTATTACATACTCTGAGAAATGGCTAACAAATGTAGTAATGGAAAACTGATTATATTCAATATTTAACATGTCACCGATTTGCGATACATTCCTTATGGTCAAATAATGATTTAACCTAGGTTGAAATATGTACTGGTTTAAATAAACCTTCAGTGCATGTAGGATTCCACAGGGCCTTGAAAAGAAGAAAACAAAAATGAATAAATGAAAGACATCAAATTAATAAAAACAAAATGAAATGAAATTTAATATGAAGACATAAAATGTTTAAACACTTAAATAAAAAACACAAACATAAAACGGTTGTATTTATGATTTTATAAGTCAAAATTGCTATTAAAATATTTATATTAATGATGCTTGCATGCTCCTAACTTCCAATTAAATATACTTTACTATGAAACTCAAGGTAAAAGAGGGCAGATCAGTAAACTAAATTTTCTTATTTCTTTGGTTTTGAAAGCAGAGTCAAAAGTAACAGTAAAAAGCTTCAAGAAAATTAAATAATCAAGTAATATGTATGTCTCACATGGCTCTCCTAGTCTTTTTGTAAACCATATTTAGTTACCACAGAGCTCCAACAGAATTTTGTCAATCAGCAGCAATTATTTTTATTATTTTTAAATCTAAAATTTATTGCAGTTTTAAGTGATAGGAAACTAAAACATTTAAAAGTCTTTCATCTTAAAAAAAATCTCCTTTGTTGAGATAATACAGATAACAAAGATATATAGGATACAAGAATTACAAAATATGGTATCTGTCCCCAAGGAATGAAGAATTTAATTTGAGAGACATAAATGAATATAAAAAGGGGGAGCCGTACTACAAGATGATAGGTGATATGTAGATATAGAAAAGAAATACGCACACATACACACATATATCAGTTTGACATATACAGTATTGACAACTACAAGATAGTAGGTTATATATAGGACTGATAACTACTGAAATAGTTCTACGACATGAAAGATCACTTCTACTTGGGGTGGTCAAATCAAGAATATGAGATTGGAGCTTGGCCCCAAGAGAGAGATATATTATAGGGGAGCAGTAATCCAAGTAAAATGGTTACAAACAAAATAAACAAAACATTAAACAATAGAGACAAGATATAGTAATGCATGTTGGAGTATTTTAAGTGAAATAAAAGGTTTATGTGTAGGAATGGTAGGAGCTAAAATTGCATAAATACGGAAGGGAATCATTTTAGCAGCTATAGATGCTGTTTTGAGGAATGTGAATTTTATCTTTTAAGCCCAGTGAGACATTAAGAAAGAGTTGTAAAGTAGAAATACAACACAAGGCACGCTATGTGGGTATTTTATTTGCTTGTTTGTTTCGGCTTTTTTTGCATATTTATTTGTAGTGTTATATAAATTAGAATGTGTAGAGCCTGTAAGTAGGAAGATAAGACCAAAACCAATGTGAAGTCCTAAAGCAGCAAGCAATATGATAAGGTGACTGTTATTTATAATATGATTTGCCCTGTCAAGATGACTGTTCCAGGTTTATTCACAGCTGACCCATCATTCAGGTTACAGTTCAAGGGCAACTTCCTGAGAAAAAGTCTTCCCTGATGAACCTCTTCTAGGCACAAGATCTCCTGTTCACCTGATTCATTTCTTAATTTCATCTTTCTGCTTATTTCCATCACGTCCCTTATCACTGTGAAATTTTCTTGCTTAGTTTTATAATTTCTAATTTATTGTATGTCTTCAATCCACTAGAATATGAGGTTTATGAAGAAAGGATTCTTGCCTATGTCTCATTCACTGCAACAATCTTAGTGCCTGGAATACTCTCATTTTATTTTTATTTTTAAATGACTGTATAAATGAAAGCAAAAGGAACCACAATACCTGTATGTTCTACATAGAGGCAGGTATGTATTTGCCAACCAAACATTGTTCTTAAAAAAAAATACACAGGATCATTAAGACTAACAAATAAACATTTAACAGACACCCAGTGTTCAGTACCTGCTTTCCAAATTCTAGTTAAACCAATATAAAAACTGTGAGAATATATTTTTATATTTTACATATTTTAGAAATGAGGAATTCTGCTTTCTACAAAATGAAGGTTGTCCCAGTGGCCTGGCCCACATCACAAATCTAAACCTATGTCAGCCCACCTTTATGGGAAACATGTCACTATTTAGAAAACCTAACATAAACCAATCACAATCTTCCAACTCAGCTTTTGCTCATTCACCTTACTCTAGAAAACTTGACTTGCAAGCCTCACCAGGAAATCCCCCCACCTCCTAGCCAATCATGGTCCACTTTGTGTTGCTGCTTCTAATGCTGCATACATCTTGCTCTGGTCCCCAAACCCCTCGGGACAAGTAATCCACTGCTTGTGAGGCACTGCACTCCACAATACATAGGTTGTTTTTGCTCGAATAAAAGATATCAAACTCATTACTAAATTGTGTATTTTTGTAATTTTACAGATTAATGACAAGGATAGAGTCTAAACATAGCAGCTGAAGATTCTGGGATGGCTCCTAGATGCAGGTGAAGGTATCCACAGAGCCTTTTCGGGTCCCTACCTCTCGGGATCTCTGGTAAGCTTCTTTTGGATTGAGCTCCATTTATTCTGCATTCTGGGCTCTTTGAGGTTGTTTGTTCTAATACTTCCAGTTGGAAAATTGGGGTGTGAGAGACTCCAGATATTTCACAGTGAGACTTAGAGGTCTCAGGAACTGTGCACATGCAGTCAGTAAGACGGCTTGAATTAGGAAGCATTATTTCAACAGGGGAAAATAATGGATACCCCTCAATCTAAACAAAGCAGGGACACACCTCCTGGGACTCCTGCCATTTTTGTGATTAAAAAAAAAAAAGGTGCAAACAACCATCCATTCCTAAAACATTGGCAAGAAATAACGAAAGATAATTTAGAATTATAGTGGCCATTTGGAAGCTTTTATAACCTAGACAAGGTTATATGCTTATGAAGAGCACTTGAATGTAAAAAAAAAAAAAAAACCAAAAAGCTAAACAAAAAGAATGGGATACTTTCTTTGATTGGTATGCTGATGTGTAACAAAAAGCTTCTGAATCAAAAATTGTGTCTCTTAAAGATTCTTTGCCAAAAGCCACTACTGAGTGAAAATACAGAAATCTAAAAAATCTAAAAAGCACTCCATACTGTGACTCTATTCCTGACTGTACACCCTCCTCTCACTTCCCCTCTTCTCAACAACCCAGAGACTCTCAATTCACTGCTGGATCTTCCTTCCCATTCCGAAGATCTTACCACTTAATTCCCTTTTAAAATTCAGCAAGTAGATAATCTTGAGAAAAACAAGAATGCCCTGAAATGTATTCCCCAAACCACTTTTACACGATAGCCCAAGGGTGAAATGTGAGCAATAGTAAATTACTTCCCTAAACGTAAAAAGGATCCTTAAAAACTTACTGAGGAATTTAGAATTTTGATTAATGTGTGTGACCCAGGAATCCCTGACTTATCACAATTAATATACATTCTGGTGGGTCCAGATAAAACCCAAAAAGGATTTAGAGAGGCAGACTGGATGAAACCTAAGGAGGAAGCCACAGATGCTAGAAGAGCTTGTAAAATGACTCAAGATTTTTTAAGGGTCATTCCCAGAATATTTCTACCAAGAACACATTGGACTCTTGTTCAGTCTTGTAACCAAAAAAAAGGATGAATCAGTAGATTTTAGAAATAGATTTGAATCTTTATTTCTGAGACACTCATAGTTTAGTGAAATAACTTCCTCAAATTAACCTGCCTTCACTGTCCCTCTTTATGAGTGGTCTTCCTAAATCTTTCCAGTATGATCCAGAACGGGAAGTCATGACTATTGATCAAGTCTGTATTCTGGCTGAATATTTCGAATGTACTTTAGAATTAGAAAAAAACCAAAACAACAAAAAAGTGAAGCTACCAAGCTCATGGCCCTCCAGCTCCAACAGTTCCAAGGAACTCAGCTATTAAACAAGCCATCTTAGCATTTTAAACTTCAAGGGGCTCCACCTAAACAATCCTGGCCCCCAGGTCCATGTCACATCTCTGAAAAGACAGGATATTGAAAAAGAAACTGTCCCCAAAGAAAACAAATGCTAGGCCTATCTCCCATATTTCCAAAACCATATCAATGATGGGGCTCCTAGGGAAATATACAACAGTTGCTTCCTGTAGTCACTCTAAGTGAACATGGTAAAATTCAAACCAAAATACGTAGAGAAAGATGTATAGGTTTAGTAGATAAAGGAGTGACCTCACCTATGTATGTAAAGCCCCACTTTTTCAAAGCAACTTATCCCCTCTGAGGGGGAGGATATATATATATATATATATATATATATATATATATATATATATATATATATATATGTGTGTGTGTGTGTGTATATAT